GACATTTTGTGCAATTTCCTCTTATAATTTATTTATATTTAAAAGCAACTTTTAAAGGCCGTCAAATATACTTTAACGTTCGAAACTTCGAAAGCACGAGCCAGGAAGCATGAATTATGTGCTATATATTCCCTAGTAAAAACCCCTCAAATTGGACCAGGGCCCACAATCCCGTAACGTTAAGTACGTAACCGCAGGACTTGGAACCGCATCAGAACTCAAGTTTTAATCAAACCATCACCCTCCATAATTCCCAGCTTGATTACACCATTAAAGCCCCCCTCCAATTCCCTCCAATTACTACGTATTCTCTACCATTAATTTCCTAATTAATTCCTCCTCGATTAAGCATAATTTAGTTCACGAAAAGGCAGAAAAGGTGATTTAATGGCGGTAGAGTACAAATGCTGTGGAACAGAGTTTTTTGTTCATATTGCAGTGATTGTTTTTCTGGTGGTTTTTGCGGGCTTAATGTCCGGGCTCACTTTGGGCCTCATGTCTTTAAGTCTTGTTGATCTTGAAGTTCTTGCCAAGTCCGGAACTCCGAAGGACAAAAAATATGCTGGTATAGCTTATTTTTATGTACTTTTGGCTTATTTTGTAAGGCTTGTAGTGGATTCCCTGGCCTCGTCCTGGGTGGTAAAGGATTTGATTGCAATTCTGCATCATCATTTTGTGCTGTTTTATTCATTTCTTTTCTTGAAGAAGTTTTGATTATGTTTGATGGAAATTTAGTCAGTTGTTTTAGAAATGATGTCAATTTTCACGTGTAGTTCTTTCTCATCTATTTTGCTTTGCCTTTTTATTTGTGTGCACGAAATTTACTGGTTTTTATTTACATTGAGTAAACCAACGTTTGAAAATTTTGGAATCTTGCAAAAGTAATTAAGGATTACCTAAGGTGATGCCAAACCGAGTGGGCTCTGGATGTTATTGCTTTTCGGTTCTTTTCCAATTGTAATTGGAATTTTCATACGTTTTCATTTCAGCGAAGATAATGCCAGTAGTCAAGAATCAACATTTACTACTTTGCACCCTACTCATCTGCAATGCTGCTGCCATGGAGGTATTGACACTAAATGTGTTGTACTTAAAACTATTTAGGAGATGATTTATAACTTTAATCCCACTGCCCCGGCTGCAGGCACTTCCAATTTTTCTAGACAGTCTAACTACAGCCTGGGGAGCTGTCCTAATCTCCGTGACACTAATACTTTTGTTTGGTGAGGTATGGATTTTTTTTTGTTTAACTTGCTGTAGAATTTGGTTGAATTGGACAACTCTATCCTTCTCTCCCCTCTTAAAAACTGTGCCAAGCTACTTTAGTCTTCTAAAAATGGCTGGCTAGGTAACAAGCCGAGCTTGAACAAATTTTATTGTTGGTCAATCTATCAATCTTGAGCTAATAATAAACTTTATATAGAGAAGTATCAAGCTA